TCCGCAACTTGGGGCCCCGGATTTTAACTCAGACAGATCAGTCGCTAGCCTGATGACTACTACATGTTGCAACAGCTATTGCAATAACTTCCCCTATTCATCCCTCATTTGAACCACCATCTGCTCCTGTTGGAGCGCCGGTGTCGGAAAGGTGAAAGCGGTGAAGCTGCAAGTTGATTCTACGTTCAATAAAGATGTCCACAACTGGGGGCCCTCATGTTTAACTCAGCAAGATCAGTGATTAGTGCTATGACTGTTACGTGTTGTTATAATTAATGCTACCATTCCTTGTTTCTCCCGCTCATTGATAAGCCTTTTAAGGGCCCCCTGAAGCTATCTGGCTTGCTTAAAACGTGAGGCATGCAACTTACCTCGCAAAACTCAACTTCTTCCTAAATACCGAAAAGATACCCGCACAGGTGGCTGCCAGAAGGATCGCAACAACAGCAGCGGCTAAAACTGCCCCAGCCAAGCTCCCTTGATACAACCGGATAATCACCAGACCAGTCGGAGCAACGCAGAGCCTAGGGCCATCGGGGTTTAGGTCTTTGGGGCTTAGGGTTTTGGATTTAAGGTTTAGGGTTTAGAGTTTGGGATTTGGGTTTGGGGTTTGGGGGGCAGGTCTTTGGGGCAAGGAACCCCCGGCTGGGCAGCAACCCCCTTCTCCACCATCTTATTCTGTTCCCATCTACTGTGGCCCGTAAAAAAATGTCAAAAAACTCTGTATTCCCGAACAGGATGGAATGCCCAAATTAACCAACATTGTCAAACCATACCAACATGGGCGTGGTAACACCCAGAGAAGCAGAAGCAACAGCGTCTGCACGTAGTCTAGGGCACAGCTTCTGAAGCGTGGCTGGGCAAACTGCTTGACCAGCCAGAAACCGAAATACATGGCGCAAACAGCAAACATGTTGACAGCTAGCATCTGTCCCAGAATGAACTTTGCGATCACGTCGCGCGGTGCCGCCATACTCACAAGCCCCCACAGAAAATCCAACTGTTGTGCCAGGAGAGGGCTGAGTGATAGCACACAATACCTGGATTGAGGCTGACAGTTCATGTTTAATCTTTGGGAAAATGGTGTTTCTTGTCACTTTCATCAGTGATTTGAAACATGACAATGGGGCGGCAAATGAGTGTCAACGTCAGGGTAAAGACGCTGAAAAACGCAGAATTTGAGACTCTGAAGCCGGGCGCGACCCAAGATGTGTAATCCTTAGGAGGACCCCCCACCCTGTAATAGTGGTATAATAGGAATATAAGAGGACCCTAATCGTTTTACTAATATCCATTATAGTCACTATTACAGGGTGGGGGGTCCTCCTAATGTGTAACCCCTAAACAATAAATGGTAGTTTCCATTGTCTTTTCCGTTATCCCAATATAAGCCAAATATACTATAGTAGTTCCATGTTCTTTTCCATTGTCCCAATATAACCCAAATAAACTATAGTTGTTTCCATTTTGTTTTCCATTATCCCAATATAACCCAAATCAACTATAGTTGTTTCCATTTTCTTTTCCATTATCCCAATATAACCCAAATAAACTAT